CCCGAGGTATCATCAGTTTTTTTCAGTCTTTACAACCATTAACCATACACTTTCGTGCGCCGGCTTTGGTTGCTGTCTTTTGGTACCCAATTCGGATAAAAGGGCGAAATGAAGATTAGAATGTCGAAGCAAATTCAAGCGGAAGATGGGGAATACATATAGAGTGGTGTTAGGAAAATAACGAGTGGATGCACGAGCGCTACTGTTTGCGACACCCAGCCATATCACTCAGTGTAGCCAACCGTCAGTGACCATCATCCCGAGGTCCCCAGCCAGGGAGCTTAACGAGGCCAATGTGACCTAGTCTCCTGGTTAAGGTTTTCATACCCTCATGCCAGGTCTTAGCTTGACCGCCCTTCGTTTTTTCCAATCGCTACCAGCCTTGGCAAACATCGTTCGCCGTGGCAACCTATCTGGTGACATGCGTAACACATGTTCCAACCAGCGTAATCTATGGAGGTCGATCACTTCCTCCAGTGGACGACCACGACTGCCTAAAACTCTACGCCTAACCTCAGCATTGCTAGTCCGGTTACCCCACCAGACACGTGCAATGCTACGTAGACAGCGGTGTTCGAACACTGACAATCTATTTTTATCCTGGTCCCTTAATGGCCAAGTCTGTGCACCGTAGAGCAGGACTGGCCAAACAGCTGCAGCATACACTCGACCCTTCACAGACAGCCGGATGTCGCGACGGCGCCACAAATGTCTAAAGTTGGCAAATGCCAATCGAGCCTTTTGTATGCGCGCCGACACTTCATCTGTGATGCGTCCGCCGGGTGAGATATAGCTGCCTAGATAGCAAAATTTGTCTACTTCCTCTACTACTTCCCCAGTTAGGGTGAGACTGGGTGCTGGATCAAGCCAATCTTGTAGTAGCATTTTACACTTTGAAGGTGTAAAACGCCGTATCATCACGACTATCCATCTTGATAGCAGGAAAATAACTCAGTTGGTAATCTAATCATGCAGTTCCTCCGGTATATCAGCTGCTTAACTTCGCTGTTATTAGGCTTTACTATTCGCCGGGCAAGTGCAGCCGACTAGTTGGGAATAAATCAAGTGATCTACATAGGCAACCAGTCTGTCGTGTCGAACTTTCCAGCTTATATTTCGACAGTTCCCTGTACTGTGCCCCGAAGGAAGGAAGCTGTCCCCGATCCATGGCAAACCAATGGACAGTAAACTTGAGCGCTAGACACTTTGGTCAAAGGTTACCGGGGCGCACGAACTTTGTGACCGTCACGTATCAATTTTTGAGGCGCTGTTCAATTCATTTCATATAGGAATAAAACTAAGAATAAAACAGATGGGACTGACAGACCGATCAAGCGAACAAAACTTGAAACCTACGAAAATGGCCGTCCAGCAATCCTAGCAACTATGCAAATATACCGTTTTTTCTGTCCACACACATACACATAAAACACCATCTACCAATGGCAACCAAGTGAGGAAAAAAACGGGTTGATTTTTCCTAGCCATACAGCCAAAGGGATGAACTCTACGGTGAAAAGATATACTGTAAATGTGTGTGGAGGGGGAGGGCTCGAATTCAAGTTACAATTGGTCAGTAAATCCTAGTTCCGGAGCGCGGAAAAAAATAGTAAATGGTTTAGAATATAGACGATGGAAGTGTTACACGTAGTTAGCGGACAAGTATCTGTGGCCTGTCACATTTTTCCCAGCCATCTGCATGCACCTCGTTATATTAGATACGCCCGTATACACGTATGTGTACTGAACATCCGACGTCATTAGGCAACAAAAACGAGGACACATACGGAACAGTTTGGCATCTCTCTCTCCCTCTGTGCGTCTCTCACCCAGTCTCTTTCTCTCTCCCTGTTGTTGTTCGCCCGTGTCAGTCAGTACTGAAAGCGGTTCATGAGTAGTGCACACAACACACATGGCGGTACTCCGCCGACAGAACCAGCCAGTTGACGCAAATCATTGTGGGAGAGAGAGAGAGAGAGAGAGAGAGAGAGAGAGAGAGAGAGAGTAGCACAGTACACACTGCCCAGACAGAGGAGACACGTGGGAATGAATCACATGGAGGACTGGATCGGTACCAAAGCGGTACACAGTCAGACTTCGACGATGAAAAGAACACGAGAGATCGATACACGGAAGAAACCGCTCCGAAGCGTAAGGCACTGCAACATGCTAATGCATAAGTTATTGAAAGAGAAATAAAAAGTAACCGCGATGATCAGAACCAGATCGTGGGTTCCACCACGTACACCAGCGTATTTGGATCAGGGTGATGACGATCACAATAGTGAGCAATCGAAACCGAACACATGTTGACGGGGTTGGGGGCGGATCGGATCAGATCGAACCGGCATTTTCGCAGGACAGATAGAGGGGTATGACGGGTGAGGTGGTGGCGAGAGTCAGAGTGGTGTATTGATGAGCTTGGATCGATTACAAACCGAGGAAATCTGATGCATGTCACTTAGAAAAAAAAACAAGGACAAGGAAGACCCGGAAAAAACACAAACCGGATCACAAAGTGAGCATAACCTGTACAACATATGAGGATTGAAACCAAGGTGTGCCACAAGGCAAACGATTAGCCACTGACTCAGGTCAACTTGTGTATGACTGAGACAGATGGTGGATGAATGAGAAAACCCCGGGCGGGCAGGCGGTGGTGCATTCGCATACAAATGCGCATCGGCACTTGCTGATCGATTGAAAGCACGCAGTCCGCCCAACACGAGATTTGGTCTACGAGTCCCGTGCGTGTGTCCTTACATGCATGAGTTTAATAATAATAATAGCTCTATGAAGAAAGCAACCACACTGAAACATCAGAAGATAGGTACTGCACGACCTTAAAAAAAAATCGAGTATACTAGACGAGGCTTAAACAGATAGCTGTTGTAATAAATGTGACCGACTAAGCGAGATCAAACAGACAGACAGTTCCAACTTCATTACAGGGAAGAAGTAGATCAAAAGTTTTGGTGACTATTAATTGCGAGAATCGAGAACGAGGAGAATGCAAAAAAACGAAAGATACTGAAATAAGAATGCGTATCTCAGCAAGCTGGATTGTTGCAAACAAGGACAAATAGAAACTATTCCACAGTGTTTGGTGGTTTGGAGGAAAAGTGGAAGGTACCGGAAAATCAACAATGGAGCCGATAAGGTCAATTTGAAAGAAAAAAACGCAAGATTTCTATGTGAAGAGCCAGACCAAATTATTTGTATAAGGAGGGGGGAGAAACGGTACGAAATAACGAAATAAACAAATGGTCTTCCAAAGCATAACGCGTCGGGCTGACTCGTGAGTGGTTGACAACAGAATAAAGCAACGTAACCCACCAAGCATGGATCGAGTGAGTACGTTGATGAACTCAGGCCGACCGAGTGGTATTGGATTTAAGAGTGGCTCCTCCGCTCTCAGCAAAAGCTGCATGAACCCAACGATAGTGACGTGATAAAAGCTGACGTAATAGTCGTAAATCGCTGATACCCACTTATTCTGTTCACGATTAAGGATTTCGTAGAATATCACGGTGGTATTGGTCGGGTGATAAAGATTACCGAATAATTGCCCCGGAGGACGTGTGTTCGAGACCCACAACTAAAGCCTAACTTTCCTCATTCCGGTATATGGTAGCCATCTGATTGGCCGCTTTTTCCTTCTTCAAAAAATCGCTTCATCATATATTCATCAAAAGGGAGTAGCTTAAAGAAACTAAAAAATAAATCATGATTACTTGGACATATTACTGTTTGAGCAACGTCTCAATCAGTGATCAGAAGATCCCAGCTAATAAAGCTGGTTCGTTGCCTGATGTGATCTACCACAGACTTTACCTATCAAGAAAATATCCTTCTTCCTCATATCACACTCTCACTCACAAACAAACCCACTCAACGTATGCGAAATATAATACGGTAATCAAAAGAAAAAAGCGAAGTTGTTTAAGCAATACTATATTAACCGGTTCGGAAACCGATTCTTCGACAGCCACAAGAAAACGAGAGTTAGCTGGTTCAGAAGAAAAGTACA